GAGCTCCCCTTGGAAAGAAAAATTTTAGCCCCCCCTGGACATATTTCTGACTACGCCCCTGCAAGCAGTTAAAAGAGGTATGAAGCTTACCGTTAGTATTGTTACTGGAGCGTTCTGTAACAATATTCAAAGATTGGTTGTGCGAACATCATCAAGGCCGATATGGATAGAGGTTCGTCAGTATCTAGCACCTTTGTTCGACTTCAACCCTGATTCCTTCCACCTTCGAGCCATACCCAGAATGTGTGCTCGAAGCTGGAAGAACTCGGGGTTGAAGTCGATATATGGCGGTGAATTGAAGATTGAAAGTCAGGGTTAAATTCGTCCTGTAGACAGTGCTGGCGTACCAGAGCAACCTCTACAATCTAACCAAGACATTAAACCTCTGCTGGAGAACATTTATACCAATACAAACAATCCAGAAACCTAAGAATCAGACTCTTCGGTATGGATCTAAAGTTGTCAGGTGTTACAGTTTCGCCCTGTCGTCTTAATCTAAACGATCCTAAGCAGTTAAACCTTAAAATTGATCTCGCTTCCAACCACCCTCTTCAATGTTTCTGTTCACTCAATGCAGGAGAAAAGTCGTCCTGAGTGAACAGAATTCCCACTTCAACTCGCTTCCCTTCTCGATGCTTCCTCTTCTGTAAAATCCTATCTAGATGAGAAGCTGGGGTTAGTTGAAGTTCCTGTCTCTAGTATGGTTGTTTACCTTTTGACCATGAGAACCTACAGAGGGAAACCCACCTCACCGATTTTCCAGGTAACTGGGGATTTGGGATTACTGATCCAACGACATTGAGGATTCTTTAGAGGAGAACATCCAAGGAGAAATTCTAAATGTCGGACGATGATCAAAAACTGGGGGCTCAACATGTACACCTTCAAGCAGAATTGCTGCCTGGCGGAGGGGCCTTGAACCATTCAGTTTAAAACATGTATTGGAGTGAAGCTGGGTAACCAGTAACTTCAGTATTGGTTGAAATCCAAATCTGAGTTCTAGCAAAATTTATTTACTGAATCTCTTGCTATTGCT